ATCGAACCCCTCCAGTGCTGTGCACATTAAGAGATTAGAAAAGCGGATACTTGAGGCTATTTTGGTGCGAGCAGCAAGACGATCGAGCTGGTTGTCAGCCAAGCATGAGAAGGCGTACAGCTTTTACGAGAAGAAGCACTATGACATGGCTCAAGGCCATGGCCTACAAACACCGTACATAGTACTTGACACAGTCGGTTTTGCCAGTACTTACCCGATGGAATACATCGGCATCCTGCTGCGCTTTGTGCAAGACATCGATCCACTCTCTCCTGTCTTAGAAACAAGGAACGAGCATGAGCCCTGGCATAGGGATTTCCGTCCATCGGAAGCACACGAACAACGACCTACGATAAACCCGACGAAAACGTTCAAAGTCCAGTGGGAACAACTGACGGACATGAGCGTTAAGAGTCTGCTCGACACCCATCAGCAAGACCGGGAAGGAATCGTTTCATTGATAGTGTCTGAAGCACCACACACGCTGCACAACGACAGTTGGGTGTTGCTTCTCGTACTCACTATCGGGACAGAAGAGTACATCGAGCGTTGTCTCAAATCAGCGGGTATCAAGGTTGAGAGCGGATGGTATGAACGTTCTTGCCAGAAGCTTCTTCATCAGCTTAAGGAATCGTCCAAAGCGGAATTGACACTCGTAGAGGATTCTGATGTGTACACAGCATGGAAAAGGCTGAAGCAAGAAATCCATCGGGGTGATGTGTATCCTGAGTGGCTCGAAGAAGACGCCGACCAGTGGTCCGATGGAAACATCTCTGGCACGGAGATAGAACCGGAATCGAAGACTCCAGGTTCTCGCTCTGCGGACGGCGATCTCGACACTGCATAACTCATCGGACACTCATGGAAGCGCACCTAGTCTGGACAAGAGAATCGAGGAGGACTGAGAGGTTAACGGAAGGAACCTTCTTGGCTGGAGGTATCAGAGGTGACGACAGCGTGACTGGGATGGACTCTCAAGATAAGGTCGAAAGTAAGGATAAATAATGCAGTGGTGACCAAGCTTCGTCTGAATGACATGCCTGCTTCCTACTCGTCGCGTACAAGCTCAGGACTTGAACGGGAAGTCCAGGGTTTGCGCGTTTATCCTTCTCACAAGCTCATTCGGCGGGCCGCGTACTGGCGTTATCTCTTCTCCTCGCCGTTCTAGATCGTCGGCAAGCGTGCCCTTCTAGCATTGTCTTTGCCTCTGGCACTCCACTTTGATGTGCCAGCGTTTGTGAAGCTAGACTGGTATGCGAAAGAACGAAGGACGACCGACACACTGAGTGTTCTGGGGGCGAGGAAGGCGCGTTCGGGATGTCGCAACAGTACGGTGGTATCGCGGTAAGCCTGCGTGGGGCTGATGGGCAGCCATGCAATCGCTCGGAGTATCATCCTCGGTGGACGCTATCATGAGTGCCTCGAGCCCCTGGCGTGGTAGTTGGAAAAGACCTGAAGGAGTTTGAGTAGAAGAGGCTCAATGTGCAGAGAGTAAACGGTTGCTGAATGTGAGCACCTGGTATCAAACGCGAAACGTCATCTTCAAATTTTGGCGCGGACACCATACTGCCAGAGCCCCTGATGTGCGAGGCGTCGTTCTGGCCTACGGGCTCGCGTCGAATTGATGCCGAGAACGCGAGCGCGATATGCGCTATGTGCGAGAAAACAAAGAAATAAGGGCGTGGCAACAGGTCGCGTTGTACAGAAGGGCTGACTGAGATGAGGTCGGATGAGAGATGGTGGGTCGCCCGGAAAAGTAGCCGCATCCATGGCTCGCGCTTGTCGGCTTCAGGGAAAGTGCACCCATCATCCCCAACAAATCGATGACGCAGCATCTCCCCTTTCTCCTCGACATCCTTCCTCCGCGTGAAGGCGCGTTCAAACAATGAAGCTGCGGAGCCTTACCATGGCGCGACATGACCAGACCGTCAGTAAAACGCCAAGTCGCCCTTCGCGTAGATGGCCCGGCGCTGAAGGTGGGTCAAGGGGCGGCTGCAGAAGGTCGCTGCTTCCTCATCGTTAAATCCGCCCAAACCCCGGGAATAATGACATATCCACAAGCCCGACATGTAGAATCCTACAAATACTTCATTCCCCGTCGCCGTAGCCAAGCCTGTGTACCGCCGACCTCAAAGCTTCTTCCAGCATGACGACAGATCACAGCATAGACCCCCGGTCTACACCACCATCAACACAGCCTCGGACGTCCCCAGAGCAGACACTGGATGCAACAGAGGACAGTTCCAGAAAGAGCGAAGAAGATGCCTTGCATGGCCTGGAGAAAGGCTTAGACAATACTACGCCACCAGAACAAACAGATCGCTTCTTCGTGGAGTTCGATGGACCCAAAGACCCCGGCAACCCGAAGAACTGGACGCCCAAACGAAGATGGTGTATCACAGTTTCCATGGGCCTCATGGTGTTCACGGTCACATTCGCTAGTTCTATCTTCAGTGTCAACATCGGGATTGTTCAAGAGAAGTTTCAGGTCGAAAAGGTCACAGCCACTCTCGGAGTAGCGTTGTTCGTCCTGGTACGTTGAGGCCCTACTCGGCAGCCAGAGTTCCAATATCTAATATGAAAGGTTAGGGATTCGTGTTTGGACCGATTGCCTTCGGGCCAATGTCAGAGGTTCTAGGTCGCAAGATTCCCCTCATGTTCGGCTTCGCACTCTTCGCTATCTTCCAGATCCCAGTCGCTCTTGCCCAAAATATAACGACGATATGCGTAGGCCGCTTTCTTGGCGGCCTCTTCGCCTCTGCACCCCTCGCAGTCGTGGGTGGAGCTCTTGCAGACTTGTGGGATCCTATCCCCAGGTCGTATGCTATCTGTGTTTTTGCCGCTGGTGGATTCGCTGGTCCAGTAGCAGGACCCATTGCTGGTGGCTTCATCGCCGAGTCGCATCTTGGCTGGCGCTGGACATCCTGGATCACTCTCATCATGGCCGGCCTGTTCGGCGTTATTGGCTTCCTTGTCATACCAGAGACTTCCGCAGCCAGGATTCTGCAGTTGCGAGCTGCAAAGTTACGAAAGGACACGGGCAACAACGAGTATCACGCTGCGGCAGACGAGAACAAGTTGACTCTCGACAAAGTGCTGAACGTTTACCTCTTACGGCCATTCATCATGTTCTTCCAGGAACCCATCTTGGCGCTGGTGACAGCTTACATGAGCTTCTTGTACGGCATTGTCTATCTGCTTTTCGAAGCTGTGAGTCTACGTCCATGCCTTTCTTGCTACGAGGGTCTGACAATCGATAGTTTCCCGTGTCATTTTATGAGGAACGTGGCTGGTCTCTAGGGGTCTCTCAGCTCCCGTTCGGCGCCTTTATAGTTGGCATTCTGATGGGCGCTGGCTGTATTGCTTACAGTTCAGCGACTGGATTTACGCGCGCATTTCATAAACACGGCAAGGTCATCCCGGAGGAACGCCTGCCGCCCATGATACTCGGAGCCATCGCACTTCCTGTCGGCCTATTCTGGTTCGCCTGGACTAGCAATCCAAACATCTCGTGGGTACCGCAGGTGCTTTCCGTTGCCCTTCTCGGGTTTGGTTGCATGGTGCCTTTCTGGCAGGGAATGAGCTACCTCATCGACTGCTATGGCTTTTATTCCAACAGCGCCATCGCAGTCAACACCTTCATTCGCTCGTTCGCGGGCGCTTTCTTTCCACTGTTTACACATGCAATGTACACCAAACTCGGTGTACCATGGGCGACCAGCCTTCTGGCGTTCATCTGTGTGTTATTTCTCCCTGTACCCATTCTGTTCTACATCTTCGGGGCAAGGATCAGAACGAAGAGCAAGTGGGCACCAACGGCGTAACGAGGTAGGGGCTGTGCTTTCTTGGCTTGTATAGTTCAGGTATTGTGCATATGCATATTCTTTCAGTGATTTCTCATCGTTTTCGAAGTTGAATGTCTATCTATTCCTCTCGGTCCTCATCTCAGTCATTGCTTTGATCAGACATCGAATGACTTTACGAGAAGATCAGCAAACTTTGCTCGGGCCGGCTCTTCGACGTACTCGACACGCTCATCCTTCTCTCGTCTCCTCAACTCCATCCAGTCCAGCTCTTGGAACAACTCCCTCAGCCTCCAAAAGATAGTAGCCCAGTAACCCTCTGCTACATCCACAGAGTACTCACATACCTCCTGCTTCGCTTCGCTCGAAACGAAATGCCAGCCATTGTCCCCCTTGGTGGTGTCTAGGCGTTTGGCGCACCACTGTGTCCATGTTTGGAGCCAAGTCGACTGCGCCCAACGAAATTGCCCCAGGGTACCGTCCATGACCACCCTCTGGCCGTCTTCTGTCGTAATTCGCAGGACCGAGTGCATTAGCACCGCGACGGGGTTATGCCTCAGACTGCGCCAAGACGTCATGAAGTTGACCCTCGGCCAACATCTCAACCATTCTGCGCGTCCACGGAACAATTCCCCGACCTTCTTATCCACCTCCTCCTCGAGGACCATGCAGAACCAATCACACATGTTTTGCCGCGCGAGTGCTTCGTTGAGCCCCGGCGGCAGGAAGGAGAAGCGTTCAAGCTTTTTAGGCGGGTCGGTCTTTAGATCTTCGGTCGACCAGACTTGCCAGACTTTGAATGGCACGGAATTGGTTTTATACGCTCGTGCGTATGCGGCTGAGGCTCGTGGGGCGGCGTCAGCGGCGGCGTCGAAACAACGTAGGTAAACGTGCAGGACCTCTTCCAGGGACAGAGGTGGTGCGGTGGTGGTGGAATTGACCGGTGTCATGATGGAGATGTGAGCAGGAGGACGGCTTCTGCTCGAGTGTTTTGGTGTCCTGGAGGTAGTGAGCGTACGGAGGGGCAGCCACAATTTGTCCTTGGATTTTAGCGCTAAAGGTACGTCGGTGCATCCCTGTCAGTTCTGGAGCACCTTCACTGACGATTTACGATTACCAAGATGCACGAGAAGTTTACTGTATTATGTACTGTAACCAAGTTGTCGGCGGATCGAGGACAATGTAAGGAAGGCTTGTCTAATCCAACTGTGCTTCCTCGAATGCCCCCTCAAACTTGGCCATGCTCAGGGAACGGATACGTTCCTCCACATCGTCGTCCGACAGCCCACGGAGAGATGCCCAGTTCAGCTCCTGGAATATCTGCTCCATACGCCTGCGCGCGACTACCCAGTATCCGACCGCCCAGTATCCGTGGCTGCAATCCTTTCCCTCAAGCCTCTCGCACTTGGCGACCTCCCCCTGTTTATCCGTCGTCCAAATGTCCCTCGGGTCCGAGTACTTGGGATCCAGAAAGTTTGCAACAAGCTCCTCCCGTGCCATGAACCAATGTGTCTTCCAGTCTCGTCCATATTGATCGGCAGTGCCATCGAAGACATAGTTACCATCGTTACCATCGGATATCAATAGACAAGAGTGGGATATCAATTCATCCATCTCTGCCCAATCTGTGAGTATGCGGAAATGCGGTTTGGCTATGAAATTGATCCAAGTAACCGTGTGGCCGATGCCAAGAAGCTCTGCTCGCTGTCAGTCGCTGTTCAAGCGCGCATACTGTCCAACGGGCCTTGTTCCTTACCACAGAGGTGCCGGGTTACGAAAGGCTTCATCATGATGCAAAATGTCTCGCAATAGTGCTTGAAGACCACTGCGCGATATTCACTGCCTGGGCTCAGTCGTGTTGGATCCGGGCTCCCAAATTCCGATCGATCGTAGTCGAAGAGCGCTTCCGGAACGCCGGGTCGTGACGTTCGGTTTAGCCATGATATCCTGATTCCGAAGACATGGCAGCCAAATAGCGCCTCTTGGAATATGATAAGATGCACGAGAAGGATCTTGCGAAGAGAAAGGGCTGGAAGGGTAGCTGCGACGCGCACGCCGGCTTGAGGAGACTCAGTGGCCATGATTTTGGGGGGAAAGTATCGGATTGGTAGCAGAAGATGGAGAGGGTAGTGAGAGTTGCCTTCACATCTGCTCCCGGTGTGGGCGTCCGAGTGCCACAACTAGCGCGCAAACGGGGACGCGCATAGTCCCAGAGTAGCCTGTCTAATTACAACTTTGACCAGACTTTCGGACTGACCCGCCATCTTTTAAAAGTCCAGTCAAGTCCTTTCTCCACAAACAACATGGCGGCCATCGTCACCCAGAAGCAGGTCTTGGAGACAATACTGACTGACTGCGCCAACCACTACGGCGGAGACCCAATGGCGAAGCTCAAGTCAGTTCACCAGAAGCTCAAATCATCAATGAACTAGCTAACACACAGATCTAGGTCTCTTCCAGAGAACTACTACACGAAGACGAAGACATTGGCGGCGGATAAAGAATGGCCCACCGCTCTTGCAGCCATCGAGGAGGCATGTCGGATCAAGCCAAAGGGCCAGCATCCACTCTGTCGCGTTCGCATCAGAGCATCTCCCCACACTAAGAAGGGCAGCGGAACCCATGTCTCGAGCGTGGCCGCCTGCATGCACGACTATCCCTTCAACGAAGCCAACAAGGCTGACGCGAGCGCCGACGCGGACATGCTCCTGACTGGGCCCGCCACGGAGATCTCGTTCAGGTACTTCTACTTGCACCGCTGGATGCTCATCAACGCGCCACATCTGTTCGAAGACGACAGCCCCCTTCTCCTCCTTGCCCTGGTCTTCCAGAAGGCAGGCACTGTGGAGACGCTCCTGGCCGTTGCTGGCGCCAAGGTCACCGAGAAGGAAATGGACGATACGATAGCGCGCAGCATGGGACTGTACCAGCAGAGGTCTGGGATACTTGGATGGGCTCAGGCGTTCGAAGATCTTCGTGAGGCCATGAGGGGCAGGTGGCACTCCAACAGCGTGGCAGACTACAAGGGCTATGGCAAACCTGGCTCATACATGCATGCCTCCCGCCAGAAGAAGACTCCGGTATGAAGGCCCAGGGAGGCTATGTTGGTACGTGAGTTGTCATGGTCTGGAAAACAACGAATTGACAAAACGCAGGCGCCTCATCCCTTTTGACTGAAGGTCCACCGCGCGGACAACATGACTGCTACACCTCTTACTCGGCCATCGTCTTCATCTATCTCTCATGGCTCGTCTTCGTCGTCGCTCAGTCTTTTGTTCTCTACTCACGCCTCGGCCTCGTGTGGAGAAACACGAAGAAAGATCGCTACATTCTCTACATGATCACTACTAACTCGGTCATCTTTGGCCGAGAGCCACGCCTACCTTCCGATCGCGACTTCCCATAACACCCTCATCGATGCGAAGGATATGGAACAATAGCCAGGGCGACAATTCGAAGGAAGCCAAGTAGGAAGGAGGCCGGCGCGTAGGGCAAGGGGCAGTTAGACCAGCGCAAGGAGATCAGCCTGCGCGCTGTCTCCGGTAGTAGAAGTGGCAGCATACAATCGCTCAGCAGATCAATACAACACAGTACATATCATGATGTCTCCTCCAAGCTCGACATGATGATTGACGACGTGAATGTTACCTAACGTCACCAGCATCAAGCTGCGCGACAAGCTAGCAGACTGAGCATTTGTCTAGATGCCGTGAGACCACTGGGTCAGATTTGCCAGAAAATTGGCACGGATATAAATCGTGTTTGTGATTTCAACATGCCGCAAGGACAGAGATTGCAGCTGAAACCCGGCCTCATGGAGTGACGTGATGTGAACATCAAGGCTGGCGCATAAACTCGTGGAGCTGACTAGACCATACTAAGGCACGTGGAGCATATACTGTAGACGCGGAGATCGCTCAGAGCATGCTTAAGCGCGGGAAAGGCTCATTGATGAAGTCAAAGCCATCGTCAGGTCAAAAAGCGCTGCCAAGCTGGAAGCCATCCTCAGTGACGCGTCAAACACCAGTAGTCGGTGTCATGACCATCGCAGCCTCATCAAAACAAGTGACGGGGCTTACCAAGCGAGTGGGGGACTCAGAAGGGGCACGAGCTCAATGTTTGTGCCCGCTCTGGCCAGTCCTTCACCCCCGCGAGACTGGCCATAGAATCTTCTGCCCCACTATACCCGCAGATACCACTTGACCATATAATACATCTAATGGATCTACATTTCACCATCCGGGGCAAGGATGTGTACTTTGTACCGTAGTTAGGCCCACCATCACTAGGATGGTGCAGGTAGATAGTTGCTGTTTACTCTTGAGAACCCCGCTAACATATCCAGGTCTTCCACACGACAGTGTCCAGGCACTATAAAGTTATGAATACAGGTTTTTTTGCTAATTCGATTCTCTTGAGTAGCAAACTGGTGAAGACAAACTGTTCTTTTTGGTTCTGTGTTTTCCTGGACCAAGTGCGGCGGGGGTGCGGAGATTGGCTAGGTGACAGTGCGGAGAATGACGCGTTCCCCATCACAACATTGGCTAGATCTGCTTGTATACCACCCAAGAGAGCACCTGCAAGTTTTATCGGGACTTTCAGGCAGTCTCATGGTGTTTGTCTAAGTCCTATACCAACGTTTTTGCTCGCTGACACCATCTCCCGAGGTTGTACTTCACTGCCTTTGCTGCGCATCACTCCGCGTCTGCTCAGACAGAACGCTTACGAGATGCCTTCTACTCTATTCTTACAACGGTATCTGTGGCCTGCAGCATCTGCCCTACATTCATCCATCCTGCTGCTGTAAAACGCCGACAAAGAGCTCCCAGCTGTTCGCTGGCGATAGTAATCGACATTAACCAGATGTGATCGCGACGAGCGCGTTGTGTCTTTTCAGCGTCGACTTTTGCTTCATGCACATTCCTAGAATGCAGACTATCTGCTCCAGCATTGCTAGCTTTGTGACGCGACGTAGCAAAGCGGACATCTTGCAACTCCCGCCCTGACCTGCCTTCCCTTTTGGGCTCGCATAATGATTCCCTTCAATGAGACTTGTTTGAGCAGTATGAGAGCATCGTATTAGTACTGCGAGGCGAGGAGAGTGTTGGCTGTCAGCACTGTCTCCTTCTGCGCATACACGAAGGCAGGCACGGAGCAACGCAAAGATATGAATGTAGGCAGCGCTGTATCTACACTCCTAGACTGCACCATCATGTAACTGTTGAGCCGGCGATGCTCTTTGATAGCGCTTTTGACCTCCTCAAAGCCTGCACGTTCGACTATTCAGATGAACGCTTACGGCGCCCCTGAAGCGACTCCTGACGTGGAGTCTCTATTCATGTGCTATCAATATTGGACCAGGACGCAGTAATGCGAGCGCAGAGATAGTCGTTGTTGCGTTTGTCAGTCCGGCGGAGGAGTGTCGGGGGGCTAGCGCGAGACCAAAACACCAGGCTCGATATCTCTGCTTCACCACTGACGAGCGCCGCCCACCCCGCCCTCACCCTGTCTTCAAAACTCCTCTCCTTCTCGAGCTCCTCACATCCAAAAGCCTCCTCGTCAATACCTTCCCCGTCGTACCCGCACGCGACAAGCAAAACCAAGCCAACATGAACATCCACCGAGCGCGGCAGCCAGACCCGAGCTTCGCTCGTACAACAGCGCTCATGGTCAACATATTCTCCATGACTACAGAAGCGGTCGATCCTCGCACGCTTCTGAGCGAGAGGGAAGTACGCGGTCAGCTACATCTGCGCTTCCGCCCCAAATGGGATGTCAGTCCCGGAATTCTCGCTCGAGAGAAAAAGTCCGTGAAAGACGAGAGCTTCAAGGCATTCAAGTCGCACAACTACTGCGTCTTCGCGTGCAAGCTCCTAGCGGGTCTTTTGGCTTGGCTAGTCGAGGGTGAGTAGTATTTCGATTGTTTACAAGAGATTCTCACCACTAACAAACTATGACGCAGAACTACGCCTTCCAATCGATGTCGAAGAGGTGGAGATACACGGGGTCTACGAGATCAAACCCGTCGTCTGCATCGAGAGCTCGACCGGCAGGAGAAGGCGGATCGCCGACGTACACACGGTGTTCAAAATCACCTCCCCCAACGACAATGGAGAGGGCGTCTACATCGACCCCTCAGCGCCCCAGTACCTACGACCCGCGGGCGTATACCCCGTCAGAGGATACCCTGCATACCCGGACGAGGAAGTGAAAGTGCCGATAGAGTTCTTCTCCTTGGGATACAATTACTCCCAACACCTCAACAGCGTTCACGAGAACGAAGCCAGTTCGTCACGTTCCCGCACCCTGCGCATAGAATTCCGAACCGAAGCGATCGTGCGAACGGTCAACAACCGGGTATACCAGAAGATGACTGGCTGCGCATGGAAGGACGTCATCAGGGGCGGCAATGATGACAAGTGGGGTGCTCTGGAGCATGATATCCTGAGCTCCGTCAAGGCGGATCTCGATGTCCTGGTGAACTACCTCGACAACAAGTACATCCCGGGCAATCTTGACAGGAACACACACTGGAAAGCCCTGGCTAAATCCTGCATGGGTACCGGTCATGCAAAGGTCATGGAGTCTTTGGAGCGAGCGTTGGGACTTGAGGTGACGCGGCATCAACTTTCTTAGGTAGCTTCTTTGCGCGCGGGCAAAGACCAATTTAATCATTACACCGCAACTCATTGACCCGTGCTTACAATCACCATTGATGGATCCTACAAGTTCATCCGAGTCCAAGTATCCTCCAAATTATCTTGCGTGATTCCAGCTACGCAATGTTGAGATGTCTTTCTGGCTGAATTTCAGCCTTGGCGTACCCGACGATTGAACATATGCACGCCCACAACAGCGGTTCCCGTATACCATTCACGCAGTACACTAATATCCTCTAGGCAAAAGCGCTTTTGAGGCAGACGATGAGCCTCTGAAGCATGAGTCCCAGCATGTATTGTCCTCTGCAGAGTACAGATTGCCTACGTACAAGCCGGCAAGCACCTGATAGGACAGCTAGCCAAGGACTATGTGTCTCCTCTATCCCCAACAAGCTTGAGCAGCATCCCGTGCCCTTTGCGTCGCTTCCCCACGTACGTAGTCTTCTCGATCGTTGGTCGCCATGCCCTCCAACTTAGCCCAGTTGAGGCTCTGCAGCATCTCGCGCAAGCTGATCCCGATTTTGTGCCAATATCCCTGGCAAAACTCTTTGTGGTCTTCCAGACTCATATCTTTGTGGTACAAGTCGAGTTTGTATTGCCCATCACGGGTGTAGTGAGGCCAAAATTTGTCGCCGCTTATAATCGCGATCGTCGCTGGCCACCCGAATTGCTCTGCTGTGCCATCAAAGATGATCTCGGATTCGTCTTGCTTGCGGATGACAAGGATAGAATGGCGCATCGAGACATTTTCGTTGCGGATGTGGAGGACTTGGGTCGGCCTTGGATTCTCGAGTACGGCATAATCGACGTTGACGTCGTATGCTGTAGGAATGAGGTTAATTACTAGGGCCCGGCGTCGAAGCTACGATCAGGAAGTTTACAGTGTAGTCGCGTCTCGACCTCGTCGAAGAAGATCGTGCAGAAGGTGTCGCACAGGTTCAGCTTCTTGTAAGAGATCTCGAGCGCTTCTGAGGTCCCTACGGGCACTTGGCCGTGGCTCTGGCGATCGAGTGTTACCAGTACATGGTTGTTGCCAAGGTCGCTGGCGCCGAAAGAAGTGACAGAGATTGGGCGAAATGCGGCCACGGCGGCGTTGAATGCGATGAGGAAGACTTTAAGAACCTCCTCGATCGTGAGTCTGGCTGTTGAAGGTACGCTGGAGGAGGACATCGTCGGCGTTGATCAGGGATTGGTTCTGTGCGGACAAGTCGTCGGCGGTGACAGTGACTGGAGTGAGAAAGTGAGACAGTTGGACCCTTCTTTTCGCTCCGCTCGTGCACCGTCTCCTCTGAACGACATTTTGGACACAAACCCCGCTATCCCCTTCCCAAATCGCGCGATATCTCTCACCTCCGCGACACCCATAACACCTTCCGGCCGCCGTCAAACTATGCGCTCTCGCTCACTCGAAACGGACCCCGAACCGCAGGACACAATGGCAGACCACCCAGGGGTTCCTGTCTGCTTCGAAGATAGCAGATACCGCAGCGTCCGCACTCACGTCCAGGAGAGGGCGGCGCGGGATCTGTATCGCGTCGACCGCATCGTCAACCGCCTGTTTCTCGAATTCAGCGACGCGACGAACCGCTTGTCGGTCATGTATGAGGTTGCCGACGAGAGCGGAAGTTCACTCTGCATAGGAGTGCGCAACATCGAAGGCCATCCAGGCAAGGTATCAGTACTGGAGAACCAATCCATTTCCCTCAAGGCAAGGCATGCCTATCTGTCACACAACAAGTGTGTCCTTGTTCTGGAGGCCTTCGCCCCGACAGTGGCTTTCTTCACCGAAGGTTTGTGCCCGCCATTACATCCAGCGAGACCCAAACTAACGCTAAACTCTTCAGGTCTCACCCCCTCGATAGAAGTACACGAAGCCCATATCGATCACGTCGAGCCCGATCAAGACGTAGAGGTCGCCTACTGGCAGGAGGAAGGCTCGGAAACGCCTATGCTCAGGCTACCCGTCGCCGCTTGGCACTCCATGTTCAGGATCACACCGACAGACGAACACGACCTCTGTCGGCCAGAGAAGCCCGTCCGGTTGAACGGTACCGGAACGTACCTTGACCCCACAGCGGCTCAGTACGGTCGTGACCAGGGGCTCAGGGACGCAGGTGTCTATCATGCCCTCAGCCCGGAATCCAAGACACAATCGTTCACGAGCCTCGGCTACCATTACTACGAATGCCAATCGGAGGAGGAGGAGGATGTTGGACGTACACCGGTTCGCGCTCTAGAAATGGACGCATACATCCGAACAATGGACAACGCCATACACAAGGTCGTCGAGGATGTCGGTGGCCGCGCAGAGCTCTTCGACATGTCGCCTACAGACTTCGAAGCCATATTGGAGTTGATGGCCGCTCAAGCTCGGTCAGATCTTCTCGCTGTTGCTGGAGACCTGTATTTCCTCGACCATATTCCCCCTCCAGACACAGAAGAGGGAAGCTCTGGGGATATCAACAGGTATCAGGCGGTGGCTGATCGATGCATGGGCGAAGGCCACAGGAGGTTCCTGCGAGCCTTGAGAGATCGAGTTCCTCGTTCGTGGAAGTGTGAGGACGACTTCTCAGGTTGTGTTTACGTGGTCGAAGGCAAGGACAGCGAGGGATGACGGCCTGTAGCCGCAGCCGGTAAAATGGCTCAGTCGAAATATGTCAGGGCATGAAAAATGATGCCAGATTCTTAAAACCCGCATCTTTCCATGCAATAGTCTCAATCGACATGATCTTGAATCACGGTCGTCGAGTTTCTCGCCGCCGCTGTGATGAGGTTTGGTGAAGTTGTCTTAGCGTGGTACTAATGCCACATCGGTCGATTCCGCCCCACCATGATCTCGTGGAATCTTAACTTCCGGACATCATCTAAAAGTCGTACAGTCCAGTATCAGCAGATCGCATCGTGCGATCCAGTATTGTGCATCCAAAAAATGACGCTCTCGTGGAATATCGCAGCTGAAAGGGGACATTAAGCCCTCGACCGACCCCAGCCGTCCGAAATCATCAAGTCCTTTAAACGGCCTGCCTTCTCGTGATGTACACAGCATGCTCCTAGTCATTGATTGCCAGCTGCCGCCATTGCGACACTTGCCAGGGTCGTCATCAGCTATAGCTGCTCGACTGTATCACGTTTTCTCTATTGCATGCGGCACGTCTTCTGTGCCACTGGTGGTGCCAACGACCTCAACAGTCTTCTCGCTGGCGTTCTGCAAGACTTTCCGTGCCGCATGCTTACTATGTCTCTGTCGAGACTATCTGATACTAGATCTAGAGTACGCCAAATCGCTCATGTGCTATTAAGCTACGGCATCAGGCGGCATGGCACGTGTGTATTAGTGCAGCCGGTCGCGCTCAATTAGCCCCCGCGAGCAAAAAAACAAGAAACCTGACCTGATTTCGAGCATGCGCGGATTCGAACGCGGGAGCAAAGAGTTCGGTGCCCCCAATTGGGGGCACCTACATCTCTCCTAGGCCACGAGTTAGTGGAATAACGACGAATATTTGCAAATATATAGCCAGCAAATCCGGGAGAGGCATGTTCAACATAATTCGCTGACATGAATTCGTGGAGTCCCGTTTACGGGCTCTTCCAGGAACAAAAATGAGGTGAACCGCAATGTCCGCAAAGCCAGTGACACGCGGTGAAAACGTTCGTCTGCGCACAACAGGAACCGCGGAGCCGAGGTGAAGGGGCGGGCAAAAAGCGAGCCCTTCAACTTATTGTTTGCCTCCAGGACGAGTCGAACGCGGGAGCAAAAAAACAAGATATGAATTCGGAACCAGCAAAAGGTTCGGTGCCCGCGGCACCTACATCCTTTCCTATGACCACTAGTTAGTGAAACAACGACGATTTAGTTTATTTATATATCCAACGGACCTTGGTTGGTTCGTGTGCCTTGTAAATTTTGGATTTGTGGCTTCACTGTTGGTGGGCGGGCGCAGGACATCATGCTCCTTCACCCAGCAGGGTCGATTGCGAGTGGATCGCTCGACTCTCGTTCTCCAGCAGTCGACGAGAAGGTAGTGTTATAGTGTTGGCTAGACAACTTCCAACCTATGACTGAGCATAAGATAGCACCTTAAGGGGTATGAGCGAGGCTTGTACATAGCCATAGTCGTTTGTGCAACATGCACGAATAAGAGACTAATCAGCACTTATGATCGTGTGCTTTTCGTGGCCTCCTTTGACTTCGTGTAGATGGGGTCTGATCGACTGCCAACTCTGGACTTTGTGCTGCCATCGTCCAGCTTCTAGTCTATCAATGGCACGACTATGCGACTGGTACTCAATGACATCGCCGAGCAACATGCATCATAGTGCAGAATGTATGGCATGGCCTTAGACATGCGTCCATCGTCGATTCATGGATCCCGACTCTGGGGTAAACACGCAGCCGACGAAACTCGTATTGCCAGAAGATGACATGAGAACTCAGTGCTGGATAGGAAGGGGATCAACAGCATATCATGATCAAACGTGCATGTCTTAAGCTTGACGTGCTCCAGTGACCGCAGCCATCTGGATTCAGCGGCACATGCGGTCGGCGCGATCTTTACTTGTAGGCTAGATGCAGCCTCGTCAAAGTGTTGCGGATGTCAACTTAGCCAGCCACGATCATTGATGCGTTGCGGCCATCATCCACTCTCAGACAAGAGATGGCCTTTAGCAAGCGCACTGAGGCATTCCCCTGATGTAGACTGATTTGATTCAGCTGGGCAGCAGTACCAAGCGTCCCTGTGACTAGCGAGAGCAGGCACAGGCGCTGTACGCAGTCGGTCGATTTGATGTTCGCAACTTGAGGCGAGGGTGTTGGGGCCTCAGCTCTATGTCCGCAACTTCATCGACGACTCCGCCACCACCCCCGCAACCAACACCACGACGCAAACCACATCACCCCGAAACGACGAAATGAGCATCCGAATGGCTTGCGGCGACGTCGCGATGAGTCTGACAGAATCCAGGATAGCGAAAATTGCA